ATAAATATGTTTAAATCTTTCTAATCTATTTGAATAGCTAGCATTTCACTAAGCCATGTGTACACAATAAGCAATGATGATAAGAAAAGGTCTTCACAACGGTAACAGTGTTTCAATCTATTCTGACCAAAATCAGTTTTGGGAAATCAAGTTATTATCCATGAGGACTGTAAAATGATAGCAGAACACACTGAAAGCAAGGAATTATTCTGGAAATAACACTGAGAAATGTGGGAATTGTCCTCGACCCGCTGCAGTACTTAATGAAGCATTAATTATGTCTATGCATATAGCAATTAAAGATGAGATCTTACATCAATTTTAAAACTAGCTACTTGTTCACTGACTGCAGTGTACAACAAAGAGCGATGCTGAGTTCACTTAAGGTCAGGGCATGGGCCACAGTGATCTGGATTTGTTTGATCTAGGTAGACAGCTTTCGTTGCTAGGATGTTTATTAATAAGGCTTTTGCTTCAAGTTCAATAAACACAAGAACTCCTCCAATGGAGATACATTAACACTAGCATTTGTTAAGCAGTCTGACTGGTGCATAATTTCCATGGTAACCAGCCACTGTAGGCAGGCAGAGAGAAGACAGCTCATTTTTTTCACAGTGTCACTGATTGCATGTCTAATTCACATAATGTGGGTGTATTGTACTATGGAAGAGTGAATTGTGTTGTGTGTGTGTGTGTGTTTGTGCATTTGCATCAAGAAATGCAGAGAGATGGGCAGATTACACATAGGTAGGCAGATAGATGATAGGCAGAAAGCTCGAGTTTAGTAATGCCACAAAACAAAACAACATCCTTTTGTAAATAAGAAAATGGGACGTTTTAGTTAGCTTTGTTTTTATACACAATTAGATTAGAATCAGTACAGTTTGGTTTCAGAGAAAGGAACTTCATTTTCTGCTTATTTTATACTTATAATCTCTAAATGCTTGTAATGGTCAAGAAAACTATGCAAGAAATAAAATATGGATATTTTACATTCTCAAGATTTTATGTTCTTTACTGTTTCTTTATGACTTTTTAAAACTATCTGGCATAAACTGAGTATTTGAAGTAGATATACTTTTTATATTAAATCAAATTAAACATTTTAAAATTTAAATCAGAATTGGTAGAAGAAGCATATTCAACAACTTATGGAAAAGAAATAATAAAATTTATAGTATATAAAATGATAGTGACATTATCATTAATATTAAGATAGTTCCCAGTGCTCCCTGCCTCCTGCTCCTTATGCCCTAGTGTAGGATAATTCCATACCCTACCCGGGTTAGATGTAGTGATGTACATATAGAAGCGACAGTCTGTGAGCTTCAGAGTGCACTATAAAAACACTGAAGCTCTATACTGGTGTTCTCTTTCTTGCATAATTTGTTTTGAGCAAAGCCAGTTCCCATGTCATATGAGGACTTAAAGAGAGAACCTGATGCTGAGGAAGTGGGGTTAATTCAAAAGAGATTTCAGTAACAAAATAAACCTTAAACTTGGGGAATGATTGTAGAACTATAGAACAGGTAGAACCAATATTAAAAAAAAAAAACGAGGAAGGTGATTTTTTTTAGCATAAAATTTCTACAATTTGTAAATACAACTTCTGAACTTTGAGGAAGCTGCTGGTGGAGCAAAAGGATGCTGCTGAGACAGGGGGATGAAAATTTTTGCTATGTAGATGTGGGACTGAGTTTACATTGGTATGAAAGTTACACAAATGTACCCAACAAACTCGGTGATCTAATGAAAGACAAGTCCAGATGTCTAAAAGACACCTACTTGTTTCTGTTTGCTGGTTACAGTAAAGCAGAAGAGAAGAGATAGGAAATTTTAAAAAAATATATTAAAGATTAGTAATATGAGACATAATAATAAAGAAATCTCCCAGTTTTCACAGAGAACAAATAATGCTAAAATTAAGAAGTGGATGACTGCAAACATAAAATCCAGGGACCTGTTAAATAAGCACAGTCTAAAGATCAAGAAAGGGTGAAGATATAGAGTTACTTGTTAAGACTTTAAAATAATCTAAGGTCATATTTCAGAATACTATGAAATCTGACAAAGGCCCTCTACAAACCTTGACAGTGTGATGCAAATATATTGTATAATGTTTATAACCATATAAAATACATAATATATACACATATAGTATAATGTAATCTGTATGCAAATATTATAGATTATAATTATCAATATACTTGCATACATATGTAATAATCTATTGTTATCCTTATATTATTATGTGTTATATAATTTTATGGTATTATATAATTTTATTGGTACCATACCCATAGATATGTTACTGTTATATAATTATATGGTATATAATTGCATATTATCTATTATACAATTTCATAATCTATTATCATTATATAATTACCTTTTATATGTGTATATATAATGACTTATAAGAAAATTATAATTATTACTCTTCAACAGAAGTCTAAGACAGAGATGGGATATGCAAATGTGGATTTTGTCTATCCATTGGATTTTAATAAAATTCACAGTGTTATAAATTTTAATAACATTATATCATCAAAAGCACTTCCAGAGACATTAAACATTGAAAGTAGGCTCTCAAGTCTCCTCCCCCAAGTGTTGGTTGCAGGAAAGAAGCTGTGAACATATGCTGCCTTTCTGGGAAAAACAAAGTTGACTTAGAGGATAGAACCGATGGCTAATAGAGACCATGGCATGGTCAAGAGTGGGTTTCACTCTAGTCAAAGGGCCTCCACCACTTCAGGTCAGCGTTAGAACTGCTGTTGGCCAGTGCATCCCACTTCTGGTTCAGTAGCCATGTATAAGACAGGTATCTTAGGCCTGTTTTTACCATACTTGTGGTTACACACCATTTGTCTCTTTAGCCATGGGTAGTTGGAACAGGACATGTACAGTGCACACAAAGATAACGTATGTGTGCTGAACTGCACTAGAAGCAGTTGTAGAAATATTAACAGGAAAATGGTAATGATTTGAGTTAAATGACTGTGAGAAAGGGCGTGAAAGGCAGACTGTAAATAACTTGGATTGGAATGAACCTCAGATATTTTGGCTGGTTCCGAAGGTCTGGTGTGTGAATGGAAACCTTAACTGAGCTGTACCTTTAGAATTTTTTAAAGTAAGATACCTGGGACCATGTTGATGCCACTTACTAAAATCAAAACCAATGAATAAATACAGATGTACTAATGCCTACAAATATAAGGACTCTAATATTTTTCTTCAGGGCTTTATGTTTTCAGTAAGTCTAGAAAAAAACTCAAAAACAATATACTTAAACGATTTGGTTTAGGGCTAGGTAGAGATAAATTATTTAAAAACCATTAAATGAAAAGGTGAACCAGATACTAGAAGGAGATACCTGTGAATTATTTTTCTCTAGTAAGAGATTTGTAGGCAGACTATATTAAAGATTATTAAAAGTGAATACTTAGATACCCCCGTTAAAATGTGGAAAAAGTCTGAATAGCCCTTTAATAAAAGAGTACCTCTAAATAGCTCATAAGCGTATGAAGGCATCCTTAACATCCTTAGTCATTAGGAAAAGAAAATGAAAGCTACAATCAGATCCCATTTCACACTCACTAGGGTGGCTATAATAAAAAGAGAAAAACAATAAAAATGTTTCTGAGGATACGAAGGCCCATATATTGCTGGGGGGGAGTGTAAAATAGTGCCACAAATATGGAAAAAGAGTTGTTAGTTCTTTTCAAATTTGGGCATAAATTTGCTACACAACTCGGCAAGTCTATTCAAGGCTGTCCACCAGTGGAATGGAGACTTGTATCCATAAAAGATTTTAGGGAATGATCACAACAGCATTACTCACAATATACAAAATATGGCCACAAACTATTCACTCAGTGGTGAGTAAAGAAAACTGATAGATTTGTCTAAGCTAATGATATTCAGCAATAAAAAGGAATGATGTGCGTAGTGATGTACATTTAAAAAAAAACCCTCAAAAACATTACTAAATCAAAGAAGGCAGATGCAGGATACCATTTCCTTTGTACACAGGGCCTAAAAATTCAACCCAAAGCATTCAGAAAGTATGACAGAGACTTCCTAAAGTCTGTGTGGGAAAGGGAGTAACCACAACTGAATATGATATAATTTTCTAAAACTGGATTTTGGGGATAATTGCATAACTTCGTAAATATACCAAGGAATGATTAAAACATTAACAGGTTAATTTTATGGCATAGAAATTATATGTCAATAAAGCTACATTGAAAAGATCATTTTAAAGTGCTATCACCCAAACAACAATTTCATTGGAAAGTAGAAAGAAATACAGATATTGTCTTAGTCTATGGCTCATTAGGTGAAGGGGCATATTTGTGAGTCTAGGTGTCCACAGTTCCTTTAGGGAGAAGGAAGGGGTAGACTAGCTCGGTCCTTCCAGGAGGAATTTGCAAGCAAATTTGCTATGTTCACAAAACAACAGGGAAGAGTTGAAATTTTTAAAAAGTAGACTTATCATTTCAAAGTGTTTGGGCAACACTCATTTCACTACAGGGATTTACTGATACAAAGTGTTCTTACCCACTAAAGCAGATCCTTAATCATGACTGCAATGTAATCTTCTTATAATACCATTGGGATTTCTGCATTTGGATCTCACCAAATCTGACATGTCTTCCTACTTCCAGCCTGATTTGTTAGAAAGAGGAGGAGCACGTACTTCGGATTGTAGAGGGAGGGGGAGAGGAGTGGGGTGAGGGGGAGAAGAAGGGTGGGAGGAGGGGGAGGGAAATGGGAGGCTGAGAGGAGGCGGAAACTTTTTTTTTCCTTTTCTCAATTTAAAAAAAATTTAAAAAAAAAGAATGAGGAGCACGTATAATTGTGCTTGTAAGTAACAATTTATATGTCGGCTAAACCCTCACACATCCAGATTTTAAAGAATGAAGGCTGTAAAAGTAGCTAGAAGACCATCTAACTTTCAGTAGTTAGGAGATATTTCATCTAGCCTTCTGGCCAATTACCTTGAATGCGATGGGCCTCTTTCCTGGGAAGTTTGGGAGGACAGGCTTCCATCAAAGGAGTTTCCCTGGTGGCAGCCTGAGATGGTGGCCTTGGGTGAGATGGAATCAGACTTCAGTGCTTCACTGGCCACCTGACGTCCCTTCGGGAGGTGAGACAGAGATTAGCTCCTTCCCTTGCTAGGTAATATCCTCTAGAACTACCTCCTTTATGCACACCGAGTCACATGCAGAGTTCCTTTGCAGCATAAGCGATCACAGACCTAGAGACTGTCTTTGTCTAAAAGGCAATGGAAATAGATTTCTAGAAAAACTGGTGTCATTCGAAGCATGAGGCTTAACTATTTTATAAGTTTTATTCATCTTGCCCTTCATTGTTTTCTTTTTCACTTCTATGTCCAGCATCTTCACTGTAGAGTTATGAACCCCACAGTTCGCAAAGACATGTCAGCACCAAGAAGGACAGAACAGGGGTGTGAGGCTCATCTCGACGCCAGCATAACAGGAAGTTATCAACAGGAAGTTATCAACAGGAAGTTATCAAACTCAGGTCAGAACCTGAGGATGAAGCTTTTCCCATCATTCATGAGAAAAAGAGTATCACAAAATTTTTATTTGGCTTTGGGGACCTTTGGGGATCTGCTCTGCAAGCATACACTCAGTTATTCATTTTATTGAGTAATTTATTTTAATTCCATTTAGCTGACAAATGCAGTTTTGCTCAGGTAATGGGAAATATTTTTCTGTAGGTATTGTAGATTAACTTCTAAAGGACAAAGACCCTCAGATGGCTACCATAGCAGTTCAGTTGCAATCCTCCTGCCTCAGTGTTCTGAGCAGCAAAGAATATATGCATATATCACTGTTGTGTAATTTGGGTTATGCAATCATTTTGTGTATATTTGGAAGAAGAGGATAAGTGAAAAACACCAGTGGAGTTAATATTTGAGGTTTTTCAAGGAATAATGTCCCCTTTGTGGGACTATTAGTTTATAAAAGCATTTCTTCTTATGGCTGTCTACTCCTCCTCTACATCCTCCTCAGTCACTGACCCTGAGGCTGCAAATGTTGATGCTGCACATGACCAAATGCATGCTGCACAAGAATTATCGCCTTGTCAAGACTGCCACTAGGCAGGGAGATGGTGACCAACCAAGCACACTCCATTACAAAGACATTGTCAGTGAAAAAAACTTACATAATGTTTACAAGCCCTGGTGTAAGCAATTGCTCAGAGAATGGTAGATATGTTAATACACTAAAGCCTCCAGCTAGGAGGTCAGATTGGAAGATAATGCTATTCCAAAGAGAAATATGCCAGTTAGAATATGCCAATTTCAATGCAAGGTGTCAAGTTTTACTTTGCTCTGGTTGAATAGAAGGTGGAGGGAGATCACGCAATGCTTTTTACTTTATTTTATTTTTTTTACATACCAATCCAAGTTCCCACTCCCTCTCCTCCTCTCATCCCTTCCATCTTCCCCCAACTCCACTCCCTATCCACTCCTCAGAGAGGGTAAGGCACATTGCTTTGGGGAAGGTGCAATGCCCTCCCTACTATATCTAGGCTGAGCAAAGTGTCCATCCAAAGAGAATGGGTTTCCAAAAAGCCAGTACAAGCAGTAGGGGTAAATCTTGGTTTCACTGTCAGAGGCTTCGCAGTCTATCCCATTCATACAACTGTCACCACATTCAGAGGGACTAGTTTGATCTGGTTCCTCCCCGGTCCAGCTGCTTTTTAAGTGGTGTGATGAATGACAACTAGTACTTATTGTTACATGCTAGCCAATGAGATAAAATACGACTTACTTCATATTCATCATTGAGATACAATACTCACATTGTTTTGTTCCAACATCTCTATACCATTGGAAGATGCTAAAAATTCATTTTTACACTTGACTGACAGAAGGTCTCAGACTGAGCAAAGTGCATGTTCAGGATAGAGGGTTTTGAGTGGAGAGGATAAATCTACAACTGATGTCTGAGCCCTTACCATGTGCTACTCAAAGTGTCCCCCCTGTCCCTCTTCTTAAGATTGTAACAAACTCACCTCGCCTTGCTGTTTTGTGTCTTGATTTGGTGATTCACAGGTTTGACTCTGACTGTTGACAGGAGAGCTTCTCTTGGCTACAAAGATGACAGGAAAAAATTATCACCAATTTTATAATATCACAAGCTCATTTTATCTCATAGGCTCCTGGCATTTTCAAATAAGAACAGTTAATATAACATAATTACCCTGAAAGAAAATGTTAAATCATGTGTGATGAACTGAAATCAAATAGCCAATAAAAAAAACTCTCAGGTTTTCAATGTAGATATTTATCTCTTTAATCTGATTTATGAGGATGAGCTTTAGAACTTGGTAATAATAAAAATAAAAAGGTATGGGCTACCACACTTTTACTGCATACTGAGTCCTTTCCTAAGTAGCTGACATATGCTAACTAATTTAATCTTTTTTGGTCACCCTATTCTACCACTGCATCTTTATACCAATTTACAAATGAAAAACCCAAGCAACAGGAAGTTTAACTTGACATTTAATGGAAGATTCCAAGCCAGTCATCGGTGTCTCGGTCGGTGACCAAGTTAGACTGAGCCTGTGGTAATGGACAACCTCTTCACTTTAGGACCAGGCAACTGTGGTAACTGCAGATCACCATGGGAGTAGTGTCTGCCCTGGTTAGGTAGTGAAAACAAGTTATTGCCAAGGTCTCCTTGTGGAACTGTCTTTCTAGCCATGTTGTCTAAGTTGTGACTGAATTCCCTTCAGATGCTGAGCACCCTGTCAAGTCCCAGGCATCAAGGACAGAAGAAAGAAACCAACTCTCTGTGCTTCCAAGAAGTCAAAGGAGAGGAAGGCAAATAGTCCGTGGGGCTGTCATGTAGGGTTTCTTAGAAATATTTAAAATCTGTTGAATGACCCTCAATGTATGAATCAAAAGGAGAGAGATACTGGAGATGTGAATCTCTGGTACAGAACTGGCTGAACACATATGAGACTCCAGGGTCAAGCTGTGAAGGGCTATTCCATTTGTATAGGAAAACTATAAAACTTAAAAAACTTAAACTTATCAAAACTTAAAAAACATTAAAAATTAGATTTCTTTAACATATCATGAGGGTATGACATTTAAATAACAATTTGCTATACCTATTCATATTTTACTCTTGGCTTTATTTCTATTACTTTTAGTTTTTTTTTAATAATCTTGCATTCATCCTACATTTTGTATCCAGTTGCTTGAATCCAAATTAACTTCATTCCATACATAGAACCTCAAGATTCAGTTATAGCACCTTTACTTATTTAGTTCCTTGATATTCCTTGATATTTAAAACTGTGATACAACTCTTGAAATATATCTTTCAAAAGTTGACATATATGTATGTGTGTATATATATATATATATAGTGAGGCTTGTGAACTACTCTTTATTATGTGAAAAAAAATCAGTTTCCTTTGAATGGCTCTATTTGTCACAATAAAAAAAAATAATCTTTTCAAACACATGCTTAATAAGAAACTCGATGGCTACAATGATTCCTTAATATATCAAATGCTTAGAGAATTTTGTTAGGTTATAGAGAAAAAGAACGGGAGAATTTGTTTCTGGTTTTCTTCCACTTATAGAGCCCATTTGCATACATAATCTTCCGCCCTCTGCCTCCAAAACATACAAACTAAGGAAACCATCTCCACAAATGTGTATACATATGATTATAACATATATGTTTCTATAGATTTTCTATATAATTTATTTATTATTGACACTAAAAGTAGGATTAAGAACAGAGGACTGGAGTTTATTAAGCATTTACTCCCAAACAGGCTCTTTATGTACTTTCTCACTTATATTTATTAGGAATCCAGGTAAGGCACTTAATATCTCTATTTTACATTACTAGGAACACGCACTCTGTTAAGTTGCAAGAGATGTGCTTAGAGTGAAGGACACTTAAGCTTTTGTACACTTAAAAATTTACCATGCTGGGCTACTTCTACATCACTTCAACCACAGGACTAGCTCACCATACAATTCCAGTTTTTCAAGTACAATACTTTGATAGCAATAAAACACTATGAAGAGATCTCCAAGGACCCTCTACTTCATCTATCATAACCACAATTCAAAAATAACTTTTATGATGATCTCTTACAATATGACAGTCATTCTTCTGATTATATATTTATAATATATATATACATGTATATGTATTTGTGCACATTTTATTCTTCACAACAATTCTATGAACACTATTAATATTTAAATTCCCATTTCTTAGATGAAGAAACAAAAGCATAATATAGTTAAATGACATATCCAAAGTCACATGACCAAATCATATGTGTCTCAAGTGAGCATGCTTCATACCTAGGCCACCCAGATAACTTTCCAGAGAGACTTGCTTTTGATTCTCTTCTTAAAGGAAAACCCTTCTGCCACAATACCTATTGTGAGGTGACCTGCCTGGGCACTGGAGTCACGAACCTGTAATGATGCTCCTGATGGGCCTCACCAGGGCTGTAAAGCCAGAGACTTCTGGTTGTCTGTGCTCCCACATAGGCTGCCAGATAACCAGCCCACTGGCCAGTCGGAAGGTGAGGTCAGATTCCTGCGGACAGAGAAGATGGAGGTTCAGTAATTGGTTGCATCAGGGAATTTGTCACCTTGCACAGACCATTTTCAGAGGGACTTGCTCTGTCAAACACTCGGATGGATGTTTCTAGGCAAACAGATGATTCTGTTAGTACTACGGTCAGGATGGAAATTACAGTGGCCTGCTTTATGGAAAATGAATAATTAATCAAATGTAGCTTTGGAAAAATCATGGAATACATAAATATTGCTTTGTTTGCAGTGAGGGAGATCTGTTTATTTCCATAGTCTTGGCAGATCTCTTTATGCTTGGTTAAAGTGTCATTCCTGTTAATTATGTAATTGTCCTTATTTTTCCCTCAGAAGGCAATATCCTCAGAGCCTGGCTACTTTGACTCCTGGTCCCCAGTGTTTCTCTCTTTATTTCATGGAACTGGGTAAATATATTTTGATTCTTTAGAGTGGGTGATATCATAATGTTCTTTTAACAATCCTAATTCTTCAAGGCAAGGACTAGTTGAAGAATCCCCTTTCCTGCAGCTCCCAGCACCACCACAGCATTTAACACAGATGGGGAATTGTGTGCAAAAAGATACCCAATAAATATTTGTTAACTTTGGCTTTTCAACCCATGCCTGTACAGTTATTTTTAATGGAAAGCTCCATCCAGAAACACATTTGATGTGCCATTTGTGTCTCTATGTGCCATCAGAGAGACAGGCTTGGGCATTTGAAAATGCAGCCTCATATTATAGAGTTCAGACACATCATGAGATCACATCTTAAACATCTCAGCTTATCAAAAAAGTGAACGTGGAAGCAGGGACTACAAACAGATCGGTGAACACTTCCGAGAGCAAGGGATTCATTTGGGACAGTGTTTTGCAACTCTAACTTGTGCTATTGCAACTGCATTGGGAAGTTTTAAGGCACAGAGGAGCCTCAGGCCTCATCCTGCTCTCAGCCTCAGACCCATCAAATTACAAACCCTGTGAGATTTTTCAAAGTTCCCCCAAGGACCTTCTTACACATCTATAGCTAAAAACCCCTGAGCTAGAAGATATCAGCAAAACGGGACTTTAAAGCTAGAAGAAAAGTGATTCATCAAAAGGTGAATCAAGTTCACTGAAAGATAAGAAACCTTCAGCTAAAAGGAGTTGACAAAATTCCTAGATGAAGGCCTGAAGAGAAAGCTGGGTGGTCAAAAGCACTTGCTGCTCTTCCAGAGGACCAGAGTTCGGCTTTCAGCATCCTTATTAGGCAGCTCACAACCAGCCTGAAATCCCAGTTCCAGGGAATATGACACCCTCTCTTGGTTTCCAAGGGTACTACACCTATATACTTCACATACATACACTCAGGTACACACACATAAAGTAAACAAATCCCCAGATAAATTCACATTGTCAGAGACTTGGGAGTCTGCATTTGATTTCTGTTGTGTTATGTAATAAATAACTCGACTAAAAGCAACCTAGAAGAGGAAAAGATTATTTATCTGTTTTAGATGGAGAAAGAAGGAAGGAACTAGAAATAGCTAGTCACATCACCTCACAGTTAAGTCAAAGACAATAAACACGCCCTGCTTGCTTCCTCCTGTTTTACACAGTTCAGAATGCCCTACCTGGAGAATGGTACTGCTCACCATAGGCTGGGTCTTCTTCCATCATCGAACCATCAAAATAAGCCAACTTGATCCAGACAATTCCCCATCCTGACCATCAATGTGTCCTCATTGGTTAAGGGGACATATTTCTACTTTCTCCAGATAATAGCATCTCAATTCAGTCTCTCTCCATTTTTGAACACCTGCTACACCTGTGGTTTCCTCGTATGTCAGTGTGCTATTTTCAAAGTGTTTTTGTCATATTACAGAGGCCCTACCACGCTAATTACACTCCTTCAGTGGTTCTCTATGTGCGCTATGGACGCACACAACCAGAAACTTGGTCCCTGGAGAACACTTCTTGGAAATCATGTCAAAAGTTCAGAAGGAAGACTCAAAGGATCCTGAGAAAACAAGCAGATGCCTTCACAGGCAGAATCTGTTTCTTCGCCTGCTGGGTGCTTTTATTTATTCTGCTGAGATCTCATTCCAATGAGAGCATTGAGAAATTCACTGGTCACTGAGCAGATTTCCCTGAGCAACTAGCATTTAAACAAAATGATATACTTCACACATGAGTTTGCTCAAGTCCATTTGCAGCTATGCATTTTTCTTTATCTCCTGCTGTTTCTCTAAAATTTTAAATAGTGTTTTATATATGGTAGGCACCCAAGAAATATTCCTTCACAGAATAAGTGCCAATATGAGAATCTGCACTTTATCAAATGTATTTTGTTTTCACTCATTAAATTGAGTATAAAATTAATAGTATGTTTGGCAGAATATCCGTATTAATGATTTAGGTAAAATATTAGAGTTAATTGTAAATTAAAAGCATGAATATGTCTTATAAATAAATGAGTAACTTATATGACTGTTGACTTATAAATTAATTCATATAATGAATATTATCTTCTAAGTACAGATACTGTGTTACCTTCCACAGATGCAACTATAATTTCTAACTTCTAACCATTCACAAACTAATAAGAGAAAGACTTAGAAAAAGAGTTAATTACAACAATAAATGTGTTCCTACAGTATTATTAAGACAGAGATGAGCAAGCATAAATTGAGTAAAATCCTAAAGAATGAACAGGTGTTTTCTAGCCAGAGGTGTGGACAATGTAAACCTAACCCTAACATTCCTGGCAGCAGGACCTTCGAAGGGAAAAGCCTTGAAAAAAACATGGCTAAAAATCCAGAGCTCATAGAGAGAGGTGTACACACCACAGAGGGTCCAAGATACCAGAGCGAGGACTTTGACACACAGCAAGAACACAAACCAGCAAATCGTTGTAAGGATGCTCAATATCGTCTGATCTGCACTTTATATCAGCCACTTTAGTGTTGACTACAGATTTTATGACACAAACCAGGAAACCAAATCCAGCTAGAAAGTAGGAGGCTCATTGATCTTGAGTTCTCAGTAGTCCTCAGCGAGTCTGGTTTTATCCCATGCTTTTTCAGACCCAGTCCAGCTGGCCTTGTTGAGTTCCTGATAGATCATCCCCAATGTCTCAGTATGTGGGTGCACCCCTCACGGTCCTGAGTTCCTTGCTCGTGCTCTCTCTCCTTCTGCTCCTGATTTGGACCTTGGGATTTCAGTCTGGTGTTCCAATTTGGGTCTCTGATCCTACTGCACGTACTGGCTTTGTAGGAGCCTAGGCAGTTTGGATGCTCACCTTACTAGACCTGGAAGGAGGTGGGAGGTCCTTGGACTCCCCACAGGGCAGGGAATCTGCACTGCTCTTCGGGCTGTTGAGGGAGGGGGACTTGACTGAGGGAGGGGGAGGGATATGGGAGGTGGTGGAGGGGAGGAGGCAGAAATCTTTAATAAATAAAAAAAAAAGAAAGTAGGAGACTCAAGTAAGAGATGCTAAAGGCTTAGGTCAGGTCAAGGCATGGAGAAATAATGAGAGTCTTTGGGGTCCATCCCCAGGGCCTTCTCAGGGTTCAGAGAGGAAACAGCAGCCAGTGAAGGATTCAGGAAATCTGAGGGCAAATAAATCTTTCTTCCAGGCTTTTCTGATTCAATTTCTTTATTGTTTTCCTTCTATTCTAATTCTTCTGTCCTACGACTAGTTTCTTCTAGCTTTTTTCCCTAGATGTTTCTTCTCTTGCCTAACAACTCTCTTCCCTCACAGGAGCCTTGAAGCCATAAAAAAAATTACAAGTTACCTCTCATTGGTGAAAATCACATTCCTAGAGCAAACATTAAGGAGCTGAGCCATTTACCATGGCAACTCAAGAGTCCAAAGTTACAGGACAAAGTCTGTGACCAGAGGGCAGGGGTTATGTGATAAATTTGGGAACTATTTTCAAGGTAAAGTGGGCAGTATTCAGTGATCCCTGGGGTATGTCAGGAGTGAGGGAGAAAGCTCAGTGGTTCCTGGGATATGTCAGGAGCGAGGGAGAAAGCAAAGGTAATTTAAAAAGCTAATGATGTGAAATACAGATCACAGGATCAGTCCAGAGAAAACAAACTGCCCATGGTTTCTCTGCTTGGATCACTAACTTGAAATTAGTCTTGTGGCAAGAAGGAGTCTGACTTGAAGAAGCAGAAATAGGAGAGCGCAGCTTAGGCACAGACGCCTCATGTCACTGGGAGGGGCTCTTCAAGGAAAGCTGTAGCAGCAGAGCTAAGGATGCAAGAAAAACAGCAAGCAGCCACTGGTGCCATCTGGGCACTAGAACCTTGCAATAGGAAGGCACAGTGTCAGTTTCAAATATGGCTGAGGTAGAACCAAGTGCAGACTGCAAAACAAGAATAAGTCCAACATTAGTTATTTATGGCCTGACTGGTAACTGCTCCAGCACCAAAGCTGGGGAAGATGTAGAAGGAAATCTGATGGACTGGGATTTTTGTTCAGCTAATTAACTGCTTGGATACTCAGCTCTGTGCTTCAGCTTCATGTCTGGAAAAATGGAAACGAAGATACAAACATGCCTGTGGGTGGATGGAAACATTGTCAGTTACGGACTAGAAGCAAGCACAGAGACTGGAGGCTGAACACGAGTGGAGAGTCCAGAAACCTGGTCTCATGCTTTGACTAAACTTTGGTGTCCCTGTCATCTGATGTGAGAGAGCACATGTCTGTGCCAGTGCTGAGGGGGCCTTCCACTAGGTCAGGAGACCATGGTTTTGTAGAAAACCCGGGGTGGCTATGTGTGCTCTCCAGCAACTTGTAGATCTCTCAGACAGGGAGCGAAGAGATGGCCTTTGGTGATGATTTGGGTTGGAATTTGAAGAGTAAAGGATAGGAGTAGTACTGGTAAGGGGCAGAAAGGACAGGGAAGAAAATAGACTTCAACACAGTCCTATAGCTAGTAGGCCAATGAAAAGTCTAGGGTATTGTTCTCAGTCAAGTTCAACTCTCTACCACCCATAGAACTGGGGACATTTGGTGACCTCTGGAGATATTTGTGGCTGTCACAACTTAGGGAGGAGAGAATGTGACCAACACATAGCAGGTAGATGACCAAGACAGCACTAAATGTTTTACAGGTCATGGCATAGTGTCCAACAAAAGGATTATTAGGTCCCAAATGCCAACAGTGTTAAAGCTAAGGAATACTAATCTATATATCTTACATCCCCTGTGACTTAGAAAAAAACCTACATCATCCTCAAACAGAGAAAGCCTTGCAGGCATATTACTTGGCTCAATAATTATATTTTTATAGTATCCAGAATAAACAACAATGAAAAATGATAGTGCAATAATTATTCTAGCCAGATAGCTAATAACAGGTATTTACAATGTATCTGTCACTACAACGTGTCCATATATACTGACTCCTTGGTAAGTGCCCCATTGCCAGGCTACTGCTAAACTTTGGAGGGCTTTCGGGGAGCATTTCAACTCTGCCATATCTGCTGAAAGAGAACTTAGCACTTCTCTTCCAATAGTATAGAATACTAGTAGCAATAAAATACTGACATAGAAACAAAATGCCTTCTTAAATTCTTTCTATGTTTTAGGTTAAATATTACAAATTAATTAATCCTCAGAATGCTCTCAAATTTGTTCTTACTTCCAATTTATACTTAGGCTTAAAAATGAATTACTTAATGTCATACAGTAGCCATTTCCAGGCACTGAACTTAAAATATAATGTCCTTGGTTTTCAAGAGCTGAACTCTTAGCCATGTCTTCCAAATAACGTTACAGTTATTCTAGGGTCACCTATCTTTCCAATTCAGATGTTATTTGCTGGCATGCAGACATCTCCACAGGCGGTTTTAAGGGAACCATTTCCCTTGTCATCTTCTTATTTAAGGACTATGTATCACATATGACGGCTGTTTCGGGATCTGATAACATCTTGGGTTTTCTCAGTGAGTCAGTAAAAAGAGCATTTAGTGAGAGCCATGCACTCATCTGGACACTGGGAATACAGTTGTGACACAGGAAAACAGCATCCCTCCATTTAGAACCTCTGTTCAAGTGAGAGTAATGAGCACTAAAGATGCTCTCCAGCAGCTATGTAATCCCTGGTAGTGACAGTTGCTAAGGAAAAACACAGGGTGAAAAGCAGTGGAGGAACTTTCCTCTGTGTTGACATTTGACAGTGCCTAAATCAACAAGAAATCCATGGCCACGTGAGAATGTGAAGGAGAGGGCAGGAGTGAATGTTTCAAGAAAAGAAAAATAGCTCAAAGACCTGAACCTAAGAATGGGTTTGTGGAGTTTGCAGATGAGCCCACAGTAATGATGAAGGTTAGTGGACATGAAAGGAAGTGAGGCTGAAGAGGTGAGCAAGGGGCCTGGACATACAGATCCCAGAGGCAAATGAGTTGTTGCAGTTGAAGAGACGCTTTCCCTTCAGTGACTCTTATAAAAGACTTTCAGTAGTTGAAAGTTAAAAAAAATTACTGTGTTTCATAATGCTTTTTTTAGAAAACTGAAGTTGATACTAGTCCCCTCCTTCATAGTGACTGTTAATGGTTCTATCCACCTTCATGTATTCATTGCTGTCTGGCATATCTACTCATTAGGATTATAATACTGAAGGAACAGCCAAGCACATGAATAGCTTCTTATCTCTCATCTTGATACTAAAACAGAATATGATATGCAAGGCCTCACATATATTTAACAGTGTTGGAGGTATCCATGATTTTACAAATGAGATATCAGACAAAAATGATATAACTAAATTCATATATCTGGAGAGTTATCATTCTCACTATAACATACAACGCTGTGCTTCCTATTTTATGCATTTAAAATATTTTAAAATAAAAGCTCAGTTGCTTTATTATCACTGTCAAAAGGTCTTGGCACATAAAAACTAAGGCTTCTGCTCCAGCTCCTGTATTTATGATAAAGGTGGTTGCAACTGGCTATGAAAAGAGAGAGAAGCTAGCAACTGCATCTATGTACATTGGAGCTGAACTTGAGAGGGCCATGAGAGGAAGAAAGGAGGGAAAGGCATGCAGAGCAGACGGAAAGAGCACCTCCATGGAATGGCTCCCATAACTCCCAACAGTGAACACAGAGATGAACAATAGAAGCTAACAGCTAACCAATCAAGAAAAGAAGTTGAGCCATAGATCATATTTGAATGTATATAGCACATTTAATTTGGGGAGCATTGCATGTAAGCACACTGAAGATTTTTGAGTAGATAAAGGATATAAGGAAGTTTGCATTTTTTTTAAAGTAAAATTCGGTGTTTAAGGCAGAACTCAAAGTTCTCGAGCAAGATCACGCAAAGACACCGGCAAACAGATACGGAAGCATTCTTTGAAGACCGCTCTCCCTCATGGGTATCCCACCCCACACCTAACGTTAGCTTCCTACTTACCTTTATCCTGTGCACGAGAGGAGCAAACAGAAACACGAAGAGCTCCACCGTAGCCATGGAATTCTGGAATATCTTCCTTCTGCTGCCCTCCTCCTCGTCGTTGGAGCTCCTACGGCAAGGCTGCCCTGGAGAACCCTGGTTTTCAATCTGGTGGATGAAAGCAGTGCTGCCGCCACCCCAGCTGGAACCTCGGTCTGTACCCCCAAACTGATCACTGTTGCAGTCCTGTGGGGCCTCTAGAAGCATCCAGTGCAGGGTGTGAAGGAGTTTTGTCTCAGCAACACCCAGCTTATCCTGGTGGCCTGCACGAGACAACCACACAGCCAGGTGAAGGTAAGAATAGAATATTGTGAAGCCAGAATAGTAGAGGAGCCCCTTTGTTCTGAAAGAACAGCTCATCTTTTCTCTGTAACTCAATTTCCCAGGGGACATTAGCAACCCTCCAAACTTCAAGCAAAAACTGATTTATAAGGCTCATTGCCACTTGGGGCTCTTACTGACTAGGATTTCTGCAGAACAGCATGCTACCATATTTTATCAGTCAGATTTCTAAATGAATGCTTTCCCAAACAAGCCTTTCTTATCAGGAAGAAAAGCTAGACAGTAAAGATTAAAAAAAAAAATCTATTTTAGACCTAGCTGGAAAGGTCCTTATAACATCAAAGTAGCGACACAAACCAAGGGAGAGAATGAGAAGAAAGATGGGTATTCTAAACATAGGCAAAATGGTTAGAACACATTACTAGAAGAGAAAAGCAACTTGCAAGATAATTATTGTCTATTGTCCTGTCTCCCTGTCTCTCTGTCTGCCTTAGGACAGTGGTTCTCAGCCTGTGGGTTGCAACCCTCTTGGCAAACCCATCTCCAAAAATATTTACAATTTGATAGTATCAAAATTACAGTTATGAAGTGTCAATGAAAATAATTTTATGGTTCAGGTCACAACATGTAGCAAAGGTATTATAGCAAAGGGTCGAGTTAGGAAGGCTGAGAACCACTGCCCTAGGATACTATGCCAAGCTCATGAATACAGTTGCATTAGGCATCGGGAGGATAAATGGTAAATCACAGGCTGGGTTAGAATCTTTAACTCACCTGATGCTATGATGCTATTTTCATGTTCAAGTGGAGAGTGTGAGAGTACATTCATATATAGAAAGCTTAAAAACAATGGCAATGGTGATGGTGTTGATGGGAAAGAAACCCCATGATAATTACGTAAGATAAGGTATGCGAAGTGCCTGGTACGGGAGTAACTACTTCACACATGTCCCTGCATACATTGCACGTAAAGGACAACGTAAGTCAGCAGTACCATAGCACCCACCTAGTTTGTTCCTGTTTGACAGCAGGGTTGCAGTGCAGTGAAGAACATGAGGGAGGGCGGCCTGCACCAGCTCCCATCTGGAAATGCTCTGGATGGCTTCCGAGAGGGCCGGGGAGAGGCCGTGCAGTTTGTTTTCTACCAACACCCGTTCAAAGGACTGCAGGTTTCAAATTTTAGGGAGCATACAAAATAAAGAATTGGAGACTATTAAAAATTAATGCTAAAACACTACATTACCTAAAAGACAATCACAGAGCTCAATTTGGTTTTTGGTGGGGGAGGGGAGACACACCTATTCTTGCCAAGAGTACACTGACCTACAGTCATTCAGACAGAGGTCATTGTTAACCACTAATTTTCAGGCTTTGGACCTGAAGAATATGGTATATGGTCTGAAATGATTTGGCTTTTTGCTGTTTTGTTTTGTTCTTGTTTATATTTTGGTTTTCATTTGGTTTTGTTGTTGCTGTTTTGTTTTTTTTGAGACGGGTTTTCTCTGTATATCCCTGACTGTCCTGGAATTTATCCTGTAGACCAGGCTGTCTCTGCCTCCCAAGTACTGGGATTAAAGATGTGTGGGACCACTGCCTAGCATGTAATCTGGTTTTTTATTTCTGATAAAATAAACTTCTTCACCTAGCAACCTATTTGCTGTAAAATATTATACTATATATTGTAATATATAATACCATATTATACTTATTAATATTTTATATAAATGTTGCTGAGTAGCCAAAGTGGCTGCCACAGCTCTAGACCAAAATGAGATGAGTTTTATAAAAGTGTCTTAAGGAATGGAATTTATGTCAGTGTCCTCAACAGGTGTTAACTGAAGTACAAGATTATTTCAAAAAATTTGACTTGGGAGCCAATGACTCATTTAATATTCAAAGCAATGATGTGTGACAAATGTTGCCTTATGTTTTACTAAATTATTAACTTTTCTGTCATTGTCAAATAGGTGTTTAAAGAGAAAAGAAAACTACAGAAAAAAACAAGTTTGATCTTTTGTTTTTGTTTGTTTGTTGTTGTTAAGGGCAGAGAATGTCTGCACAACGTACCAACCAGCTTTTAGAACAAAGTTAATGTGGATTTACCTTGTATGAACATGATTCATGCTTAAGTGCCCTAAATGGTCTATGCATTTGTTCAATTATTTTGTAGAAGGATGTAACATAAGCCCTGCATATTCTAGCTGTATTGTTGTAATTATTAAGATATTTGGGCAAAGTGACTTCTATTACAGGGATTATCTAATGAGAACTATTTCCTTTCTAACGCAAATAAAAGAAAAAAGAAACTCATTTTGGAAATGAAAAGTACATAGATATGTCAAAGAAGATGGATTACTTATTTAATAATCTCAGTGGACTGAGTATTTAATGTGATTCCTTCTTAAACATTGCTTATGTAACTTTAAAAACTTTTGAGACTCTGAAGCTGTGTCCTGCATTGGCATCTATTTACCTCGTTCCCCGCTTGCTCACTTATCCACGCATGAAACCTAACTACTTGATATTTTGAGTGCCTTAGAAACCTCAGACTGTTTACGAAGAGCAGAGAATAGTCATGGTTATCCTAAGCTAAAGTGTCGGCACGGTAGAAGGAAGGGCGTGAAGATTTAAGGTGTCAAGATGTTGTAGTGATTCAGATACAAGAAATCCCACTAATCCTGACAATGAAGGAAAGTTTGAAAGTATCTTCGTGATAATCCAATAAAGCCAATGCCTCCCAGTGTGTGTGCCTGTGGGTTTGTGTGTATGCACGTGCATGCACTGTGTCTTTAACTCTCCACTTGGTTTGCATCATAAATTGTGGACCTTACACTTCAGAAGTCCTTTCTAGAGCATCACCCAGAGAGCCGTTTACAAATATATTTGGCAGCATGAAAGTATGCAGCTTCCCACTTTTCCACTATACTATACATGATCTAAATCCATTTGTGCAGCTATGCGGACCCATTTCACTCTTGCTTCATGAGCTTGTGCCTTATTTTCTCAGTTTGCAAAATAGGTCTTCTAAGGCTGTGGGATTCCTTTAGAACCTCAGGTGTCAAATTCACTTCATTCTGTAAAAATATTAATAGCAGGATTTTCAGGATGATTTTAGAGTCTTTGCTTTCAGACCTGCACAATGAGTGCAAGACATAAAGGTACAGAGTTGCTTAAGATATCTAAGTACTCCGCAGTCACGCATTGTATGAACAACCAGCTCACGAGGGTCTCTGTTTGGTTGATTAATGATTTGACTTTTCGATCTTCCCTGAAAAACTCACCTGGGCCTCGTTCTACTCTCTCTGCCTTCTCTTCCACCGCCCCCTCACTCCCACCCATTCGTCTAGTTTATTTCCACTGGATGCTGAGGTCCTTTGTCGTTCTGTCCTCCCTTCAAGATGGCACTCCTTCCTTCATCCCTTGTGTCTGCCCAAGCATCACACTAGCAATTAATCCGTATACCGAATCCACCAACTGCCTCTGAAATAAAATACCTACCACAGCTTCTTCTAACATGCATTGCTGCTTTTCTCCACGCTGCATATCACCGTCTGTCTTATTACGTACTTTATGTATATATTCAGCTGTGGCCTTTCTGCCTCATGTCAGGATGCAAACACTGTGTCTTGTTTATGTCTCTACTCTGTCCCAAGAGCAGAACTGTGCCTGGTTCGGGGCATGCTCACTAATATTTGTCAATTGAATTAACTTGTGGAGTTAATATGATTTCGTCTTTGCTTGGGTTAAATCATCACACAGACTATGGAAAGAATCATTAAATGGTGAGAATCACATACCACACAAGAGGCTTCATATTGCTTCCCCAGCTTAGGCCTCAAAAATGCACTGAAAAATTAGTAAAGGTTTTTGTTATAAACATGAGCAAAACTATCTATAAGCATCTTTATACTATATTTTTAATAAATAGGGCATGTTGCTACAAAACTCAAATTTCATGTTTCCTCGTAGCTTATTAACGAGCAGCTGTTGGACAGCTGACGACATTGGCTTTTACACATTAATTACATACATGAAAGATACGTGGCTCTTTGCCATTTCCCATACCACTCTTATTTTGAATCGGTCTGTATATCAGCAATGGTCAGAAGAGGTGCATTCCCCTTGCGCGCTTTTATCTTAAAAACTGAAAAATGAGCACAGATATGGGTCATGATTCCCAGCATCTATTTTCATTGGTACTCGGTCTCTAAAATAACAAGAAAGCCCTTTACTGTTCATGGTATGGGGGATCAGGCCCGACCAGGTGAGATAAATCTATCAAATATCACTCTGTTCAGGGGCTTTAATCATGAAGACGACATTGGCTGAATCCAAGTAAATATGGTTAACAAGTGGGCACAGTAGGTATGTCAAACACGCTAGAAAACAACAGGTCACCAGGCAGGGATTACAGCAAGAGATGGAGGGGGGGGGGGAAACCAGTCCCAATTACCTTCCTAGTTCCCCGCCCCCTCTGCCCAGGTTCTCTACCCTCCCACCCCCTCGATAATGAATATATATTTATTCGAAAACTACCAATCTGCTTGTTGTCAAACTTCAGTGAGATTTTTTTTTTTTTTTTAAATGCGTGCTTTTAAGTGGGTGCTGAGGGCTCGCTTTCCACCCCAGAGACGTTGCTAGCTGCAGGCTGCGGCGCGGCCTCGGTGGCACGGTGGTTGCGGTGGCGACGACCCGGCGACCCCCCCCCTCCCCGCGAGCGCCCCCAGCCCGGCGCCCCTCACCTGGTTTGCCGCCACAGGAAGGTCTGGATGGGCAGCGGGATGCCGCGGCCGCCGTCCTGCTCCTGGCCCTCGGAGCTCTTCCTCTTCACCATGATGGTGGCTCCCGGGAGTCCTACCGCAGAACCCAGCGCGGGCTCCTCGCCGGCCGCCGCCGCCGCCGCCGCCTCCTCGTCGCGCTGCTCCCCCCAGCTCTCATCCCCTCCTTCCCCGAGGCAGAGACGGCTGTCCTCGCCGCCGGCCCCCGGCGCTCGCCCCTTCCCCCAGCCCTCCCCGCGCGCGGAACATGGCTGGTGGAGGAGGGGAGGGCCGGAGGAGCGGCGCGGCGCGGAGGGGGGCGCTCGGAGCAGCCGGCCGGCCCGCCGCCCCCTCGCCCTGCTTTCAGCACCTCCCACTGTGGACAGCGGCCCGCGCCGGGCGGCCCAGCCGCGGAGCAGAGCCGGGGGCCGGGGCTGCAGCTGCGGGGTGGCCGCGGGAGTCCACGCTCCGCATGGCACGGGCACGCCGGTCCCCCGCGCGGCCTCTTCGGCACCCAGGGTTCTGCTTGCTCCTCTCGGAGGGCACCCCAAGAGTGTCTCCTGTCCTGCTTCCCAACCTCTGCGTCCGAAGGACTGTCGACCTCTGGGGAGGAGGAGCTTTGGAGAGCCGCAGAGCAGTCACTAACTCTGGCATCATTCGCACCTCTTGCAAAGAGGTCAGCGGTCCATCTCGGGTCTTAGCAGGAAGGATGCAGGGGGGAATGACTAGAAAATGAAATCAGGGCAGAAGGCAGGCTTGACGAGCGAGAGGAAGCTGAGAAGTCTTTCTATGTGAGCATTGGTTTTATAACGTGAAGAAGTCAGCCTGGCTTGATTTACCAACGCAGGGGTGGAACGAACTAACCAGTGTGGGTTTCATCTAGTTACAAGTTGAGAGGCAGCGTTTGAATCACGCGGAAAAGCATGGCTTATTACAGGCCATTCAGTGCAACTTGGTGGGCTTTTTCCCTCCGATGATAGCTGCCATTTTCCTTCCGTGTTGTCTGTGTTCCTTTAACAAGTATTATCTAACACTGAGACAGGTGGGGGTGAGGTGAGGTTGGGTGGCACAAGCTGACCACAAAGTCAATGTTATCAGTTTATCTACCTGCCAATGATTAAAACAAATTTTAAAATGAGCAATTATACAGAATGAAATGACAAGTCAGATCTTGGGTCTTTATCTTAAGGGATAGGACAGGACATTCTTTGATAGCAACATGCATGGTACGTAGATCTTTAAGACTGGGAAATAGAAACCCTGCCTCGAAAAACAAAAACAAACAAACAGACAAAAGACCCGGAAATAAACTTCTCATTTTCTTTCTTGAAGACATATTTTAATAAGGACCCCAAAATAAATATTTTACTTTTGATAGTGTCTTGCTAGTGAGTCCAGCCTGCTCTCAAACTCTCAGTTGTCTCCCCGCCTCACTCTGGGATTATAGAAATGAACACTCAGGAAAATACAGATCTTAAAACAGACTAAGATGGAGACTAGATAAAATGTATTCAATGAATATTTATTAAGTATATTTATATATCAGAAACTATTTATGTTGATTCTTGTTCACAAAGGCTCCCTCTGTTGAAGGGAAGACGGCCACAGGCAAAGAAGAGTTTTATAGCAAACATGACCCCGGGTCCAGTCATGAGCAGAGAGACGGGGAAGAAAATGCAGACAGGTGTCTGTTGTTGAAGAGGAATCTCCTGACAGTGAAGTAAAAATGTCCCTGTGTGTGGCCAATGTGAATGGAGGTAGGAGGAGAACTAGAAAAGCTTCTTATGAGAGCCTGAGCCCATGTCTTGACATCCAAGTTACAAGAGACACAACAGGACCTGATGGCCAAGTGGACACAAGGAGAGAAAACATCAGTGACAGAGACTTAAGCCTTTAACTCGATGCTTTGGCTCTAACCCACTATACGCTAGGCATACGCCCCCCACAAAAGTGGAGAACTGTGCCAAGTTCTCCAGTGATGACAAGATGTTCTCACAATCTCTTGTCTATGTTCACATCAGGAAATACCAGCTAAATCTTCAGACTTTGAACATGTCTCTATTTGCATGTGTGGGGGAGTACATTACTGAGTTATTCTTTTTTTTTTTCATTTTAAACAAGAAGTTTATTTAAACAACAAGACACTTGACTTAAAGGGAAAACTATCTAGGATCATTTTGTTCAAGAGTAATTTATCCCTACTTAAAGACAGATTGTCCTACAGGTAACAGCTATGTACAAAAAAAGTTATAAAATTGTCCTTGGTTTTACAATGATAAATGAAAAACATTAAAATTCTCCAATCGAACAAGGTATGCAAGGATTTTGTGGTTGGGTTCTTTTGTTAAAACATTGAGAGCAAAATAACTCCCTGGAATATAAAGATAAGAGCTGATGAGCGAGCCACTAATGGAGCAGGGGATATATTCACAGAACCAGTACTTTCCCCCAGACCACCTCCACCTGCTGTCAGTCAAAACAGAACACTGGCCATTTAGTTTAAAAAAGAAAGAAAGAAAAAAGCTTGTGCACATACACCAGCTACTTTATGTACAATAAAGAAATGGGGACAGGGAAATGAAAGAATAGAGAAAACTATACTGTAGTAGCCAGGATGTGGTGGGACCAAATTGCGGCTTTCTAATTGCGAATGTATTCCTGGTCTATAACAAAATTCTGGAGTAAAGTAGCAGGTTCCCTTTCTAGTAGACACCTCCCGTCTGCTGCTGGAACACATCAATCGTATCTTCATCCTCCATTTCCAACTGTGCAGGTGTGTCTGTTTCATTGATTGGCTGCCCATCAAACCGAAATCTGATCTGCTTCATTGACAAACCCTGTCATTCATAATAGGCTTTCATTAGTTTACTAAGTGGTGTATGCCTCTTAATTTTAAACTGTACCACAGAGCCATCCTGCCTCGCCACCTTCAAATTAATATGATCGTTGCTCTCGGTCTTGACTCCTTCCTTGGGTTTCTCGTCAGCCATGGTGAACGCCGGAGTCTCCTCAGCTGCTGCTTCACTACTGAGTTATTCTGAATTCTTCATTGGAAATTTCAATGATTGCTAGACATGTCCATATGGACTTCAGAAGAGGTAACATGGTATAAAGGCCTATTTTGTGGTTTGTTTTATATAGAAAGTCACTGAAACCATGACAGAAGATCTGGGTTAATACATAGGAAATGAAAGAGGGATTGATTTGGAAGAATAGGAGACATCAACTTTAGTATATGGTCAGAAAGAATGCTGCCAAAACAGACAACACACAGACTACAATAATTTCCATCAACAGAATTCAAAAGTAGCCCTAAGATTCTCAGATTTTGCTGCCCATACATACTTGCGTCTAGAAATTCAATGAAATTCTACTTTGAGCACTATAAAGAGATTTATGTAAACCTTCCGGATTTCAAAATACTAATAGGCTTTATATCTTAGAGAAGGTTCAAGCTAATAAACAAAAATGAAGAGATGCTGCCAAGTTCCCTTTTACTCCTTTGTCTTTTACTCACAGTTTTTTTTCTAATATTAGCATTGTACATTATCGTGATATAACCTTTATTATTTATTAACTAATATTTGTGCATTACTATGAACTAAATCCGTGGTTTATAGTAGTGTTGACTGTTCATGTAGAACAGTTATATAGTTTATCCCAATAATGCCGCACATCCATCATTACAGTAGCGCACAAGACAGTTAGTTCTATTTGTTTACATTCTCCTATTCTCAGCCTACCCATTTCTCTTTCCCTTTTTCTCTCCCTGGCAACCATTGATCTTTTTACTGTCTGAAGAGTTTTGTTGTCCCTAGAATATCACACAATATGTGGCTTTTTCAGAAAGGTTGTTTCACATTTGTGTGTGTTTAAATTTTCTCCAGTTTTTTTAGTAGCTTGATAGCTCATTTCCTTGTATTACCAACCATGTCCCATTGTCTCCATTGAAGAACTTGGGGGTCTCTGCAACCACCAAAGCTAGAAGAGTGTTGATCCATGAGAAATAAAAAGGCATAACTCTGTAGCTGCAATTGGTTCAAAGTTTGAGAGTTTGACTACAAGTAGTTTATTTCAGTCATATTTAAGAAAAGCACGATTTGGAAAAAAGTTCCCTTGTGGTAATTAACTCAATCCCATGTGCATAAAAAAAAAGCTTACTTAAGAACTACATAGAAACTCTTGTGAAGTACAAGTGACATTCTCCATAAAGAGAGGTTTTATAGGTTAACTGGGGAAATGGGATCAAGATAAACAAGTTCATGATAAGGGTTTTGGAGAGGATCTCACTATAGATTGACTGAGACAAGATCGAGATAAGAGTCTGAGAGAGCAGGAGCCGCCTGTCCACATAGAGGTCACCAGGCTATTAACACATCTATTCCCAGCCTTCTGGGTAGAAGACAGGTTATACATGTCTCCCATTGGAGAGACAACACTGTGTATTTAACACTCCTGGTTTCCCTAGGGTTTTTCTGTGAGCACAAGGACAGATGTATCTCTTACAGAAAGCCATTTCATTTAATGGTGACTGTGAACTGCCTTGCTACAAATACTTCCATATAAGTTGTTTGCCGACATGAGTTTTCAACATGTTTGGTTCTAGGTTCCAAGAGCCTATTTTTGTATCCTATAATAAAACTGATTACTTTTATAGAGAACTTTGTAGGTTGCAGTGGCACATGCCCAGAATTCCATCACTCAGGAGATAGAGGCAGGAGGATTGCCACAAGTTCAAGTCAAGTCTGTTCTACATAATAAGTTTACAGCCAGGCACAGAGACATTATTCACTGATGAGACTGTGTCACACAACAAGGAGGATGGGGAAGGAAGGAGGCAAACTAGTTTTTAAAGATACTGCAATGACAGTATTTTAACATGATGGACCTATGGGCAAGAAAGTTACCAAACATGGCAATGCTGAGGTTTTTTGAGAAAAGAATAGTTAATAAACAGGTTGTGAAGGATCTAACACCCAGTATATTGTTCATCCTTGAAACAGAAATAATTTCTGTGATTGGAATTTAGTAAATAAGATGGACAGAAGCAAAGTTATCAGGAAAAGATCTAGGTCAG